TACCTATAGGAATACGACGGCTATCACGGCATTCCTATATAAGGTCTATTCAGTAATATTCAGCAGCTTTATAGCTTGCTCAGGAGGAAATTAGACGGCGAATTCGGCGAATTCCGTCTCTATAGGAAGCGTAAAATCAAGAATATTGCAGGAGGGGTTCGTTCCCCACTAAATTCAAGTTCGTGAACTTGAACGCGAATTCGCTGCATTGATTGATATGAGCGTGACCGGAGTGAGCACTGCTTCTCGCAGCGATTTATAATTGACATGGACTCTTTGCCCACAAATCATCACTGAAGTTGTGCTAATGTGTCTGAATCAACAAGAGTTTACACAAGATCTGCCTTCCTCGCTGGAAGGAGTAAGATATCAAGAAGTGGATCAAGCATCCACGTCACAGCTGGCTATATTTCACCCGTTATTCATCTCTGAATGTCTTCACGAAGCTAAGTTTCTTTTTATTCTCATTGCTTAAAGTTATCAGGGTATTGGCAAATATTGCTCGTTGTTTAAGGCTACTTGTTCAGTAACATGCTTGATGCTTTAGGCTTATTGGTTTTATTTCGACATGCTGGTACCCAGTTAAACTTGCCACAGCAGAGGCTTGTTTTTAAAGCTGTTGTTTAAGGCTCTCTGATTTTTGAAACATGCTTGCTGCTTAAGACACATCTAGTATTGGAAATGTTGTTTCTTTAAGCTTATTCAACTATTATTGCAACACGCTGCATTTAAGTCAGCAACATGCTTGTTTCTTAAAGCTATCTAGTGCACAGTATGTAAATTTTGCTGCTAAAGGTTGTTATTCAAATGTTAACAACGTAATCTGGGTAAGGGCAACATGCTTGTTGCTTAATTTTCGGGTATTGACCATATTCTTGTTGCTTAATCTTTTCAGGTACTGCATTAAAGGGGCACGCTGCTCTTCTCAGCTGCTTGTTAAAGAAGAGCACCCCTTTGCTGCTACTCTCCTCCTGTAAGGGCCATGCTGCCCCAGCCTCTGCTATTTCAGAAGGACATGCTTCTCCTTTCAGATTTGCCATCAGTTTGTGGTTGGGGGGTGTCAGCCTATGTTTGGTGGTTATTACTGCTCTCCCTGCGCATTCATGACAGGCTGCATGGATGAGCGGGCAATTTTTACCCAGAACAGAACCACCAATCCAACCTGTATGCAAAGTGTCAATCATTTTGACGATAGTGGTCCTTACAGAACTATAGTTAGTGTGGAGATGCATCAATAAACATCTGTTCACACTGTACCCATCATGCCCAGTAAATGTTCTTCTCTCTGAATCATCTTTAATGACCTCTCTACAAGAAAAAAAAATACATACTGTATAGTGGCCCTAATATCACTACAAATGGTTCAAGCCATTTTCTTAGTTTTTATTCTCGTTTCCAGAAAAAAATTTTATAAAATATTTTTCCTGCAGAAACAATATTGTACAAGATGACAAAATAATTCTGAACATTATATAATAATTTTACTATACATTTTTACATACATTTATTTTTTATTAATTGATAATGTAGCAATGCATGGTAGCTTTAAAAAATGAAAATAAGCATTTATTTCATTGTTTTAAAAAAGGAAAGAATATTTTTATTCAGCAAAGATGCATTTAACTGATCAAAAGTGACAGTCAAGACATTTATAATGTTACAAATGATTTCTATTTCAAATAAATGTTTTTCTTTTGAACATTCTAGTCAAAGAAACATTAAAAAATGTATTGTGGTTTTCAGAAAATGATTAAGCAGTACATGGATCATGTGACACTGAAGATTTGAGTAATGGCTGTTGAAAATTCAGCTTTGCATCACAGGAATCAATTCCATTTTAAGTTATTTAAAGTTGTAATAATATTTTATAAAATTACAGTTTTTACTGTACTTTTTATTAATAAAAAATGCCTTGGTGAGTAATGGAAATGAGAGTGTTAATGGTTTGAAGTTTACAGCTAAGGACAGCCAAAGGGAAGTGCAGTGGTCTCTGGATCAAGGCTTTTGGGTTATGCATCACGGTCAATAGGAAGTTCAAATGAGGACAGTGGCTTTGGTGAGGCAGGGCGGTCACGGGTTGTTAGGCGGTCAAGTTCGGTCCGTAAGGAGTCATACAAAGGGAAAAGCCATTAGGGTTTAGGGACCAACTGGGACTGGGACCAGCACTCAATGAGTCCATCGTGCTCACGTGTGAGTTATCGTCATTCTCACACCTGTTAGTCGTGTTCACATGTTATGCTGCTATCCAAGGTGCTGAACAGTGTGCATTGTAAGTATAGAAGGCATGACTTCACACCACGCCTTCGCCTCCAAACACACACATACACACACACGCGCACACACACGCACACACACACGCACGCACGCACACACACACACAAACTCTACTCCTAAATCTACCCCTCAACCAAAACTTTATGCAATTTTAGATTTTCAAAAAAGATCATTCTGTGTTATTTATAAGTTTGTTTCCACATGGGGACCTAAAAATGTCCCCACAAGGTCAAAATTTACTAGTATTACTATACTTGTGGGGACATTTGGTCCCCATAATGTAGGGAATACCAGGACCACACACACATAAACACACACACACAGAAAATCACACAATACTCTACAAACAGAGCCTGTTTAAACATACCCTGATCTGTAGAATAAACTAAACAAGAGATTAAAATATAAAATATTACTAAAGAATCGCTCACACCACACAAGTGCATTATAGTATGATGACAAATATGTTTATTTTAGGGTTGTCAATTTAATAGAATTTAGTATGGTTAATTACAAATAAATATAGAAAAATAATGTTTTAAATATAAAAGTGATATTAATAATAATATACAAAATATAAAACTAATACAAAATTATATTATTAATATTAACACATAACAGATTACAACAAAATTCAAGAGTTTTGTTTAAAAAAAATTTTACTTTAAACAATGTTTTAAAACTTTGCGTGAGACAATGAAAAAGAAAGAGGCATAAAGCAACAGCCAAAAATGTAAATGTATTGACTTCTAGAGCCACTTTTTAAAGTCTGTCAATTAATTACTCATCTGCCACAACAATGTCTTTGAATCATCTTCATTTCAGGCATTTCTCAGTGAATACTGGCATGCCATCATTTACAGTTATTTTATTTAATGAATCGGCATGTAATTAATTAAAATTAATCTGTAAACAATTGACAGCCCTATTGTGCATTTATTCCCAAAAGACTTGTTTTATGCCAACTGACCATGTTGATGACACTCTCTCCGTCTCTCTGATAAAGAACAGCTATGATATGATACCCTCAGACCAACCCTGCGCCGAGCCGGATAAACTGTCAGCGCTGATACATACACTCAGGTTTCATTCTGCAAAGAACAAAACCCTGGCGCCGTCACATTATATTATATTATTACATTGTAGATATTTTAGGGGTGTCAATTTAACATTAATGTTGCATGGCTGATTATTACAAATATATATATAAAATATTTTAAATTTTAAAGCTTATTTATTCAGCTTTCAGATAATGTATAAATCTCAATTTCAAAAAATTGATTCTTATGACTGGTTTTGTGGTCCAGGGCCATATATAAATATTTAAGGGGTGTCAATTTAACACAATAATGTTGTATGGCTAATTATTTAAAATATATATAAATTAAAAAAAAACAAACACACTGTCACACTAACACTTCAGAGGAACGAGGAGACGCTGGAGAATACTTTAACAAGACTTTATTTTCATGAACCAAGGGAGACGAACTCAGGAAGACGTTTAACAGCGGACCGAGAACTAGGGACTGGGAACACTTTTTATACACACAGGAGGAGGGGATGACGAGACACACCTGGGAGCAATGAAACATCAAGGGAAACAGCTGGGACAAATGAACTATACTAATCAGGACAGGAACAGGAAACCAACCAAATAAGGGCATAGGAAGGCACATGGGGAGCTATATATATATATATATATATATATATACATACATATACACACACCATGTTATATACATAAACATACAATAAATAAATATTATATTATAGATATGTTAATTTAAAATATATAAGAGATATAAAAGATAATATAAGAACATTTTCAAATGTGTGTTTTTAGATTGACATTTTCAACATTTTCAAAATTTTGAATACACTTCTGTGAACTCATCTATGAACCATTTTTGTGTTTAATTGTTCGCACATGTTCAAAGATCTGGTCCAGCATGGAATGATCTCACTTAAAAGTGTCTTTAAAGAAAACAGATTTACTTTATACTTAAAAGCTGAAGCCTTTCATTAAAGAGGAAGATACAAATTAAGACGTATAATTGGAGGGAGGATGGAGAAAATGGGATGCAGCCACGGAAGAGAAGAGATTCCGGCAACTAAATACAGATTTCAGCCATGATAGCTGATCTCTGCCCAATATCTCAGCACAACCACAGCATACCATATGCCCGCCTGTCAGCTCCAGGACAGGAAGTGAGATTGAACAGGCTAAAAGGGTAGTCACACCAGACTTTGTGTTCAACGCAGTTCCTTTCATGCCCATTATATTTTATATAAAAAAAAGGAAAAAAGAGACCTGTCCTTTCCTGCGCACAAAAGCTCAACATTAGTGAAATCAGAGCTGCAAACCCAATTTGAGCAATAGTCGTTGGACACTCCTGCAATGACACACACATAAACATATGCACCTAAGTGAATATCTAGGCTTCAATATTTCCCAAATGAGGTGTAAAAGCAGCCGTCCTGGTAATTAAAGTCAGCTGTGCGGGTAATGGAGCAGCTTGTATTTTTCTCTTATCATATTCAAGTGCTCTTCATCCATAAACACATTTATTTAGGGGCAAACGTGTTGAGTTTTGCACTAAGTGAAGAAAACCATTATGCCATCCAGGGGCTAAGCATCAGTCAATGGAACAAAACTGAACTAAAGTGCATGAGATGCTGCTGTGATTCATTGTGACAACACATATTCAATCAAGACACCCACTTACCTTGATTAGCAGGGAATGTTCTTAGCTGCATGCTGTCGACCAGGTGGTTGATGGAAAGCTTTGGCCAGTGAAGGTACAGCTGGCAGCCCTGGATCAAAGACACTTTAACTTCATGGTCCTCTGCCAGGATGTCCTACAAATAACAATAGAGGACACGGTCTCATTGATGAAATAATTTTAGGACACCAAGGAAAGGATGCACAATATATCTGTATGCCAGTGTTTTTTTGTTTTTTTTGTTTTTTTTTTACTAGTTTTGGATAATAACCAGTAATTCAGAATTTAATTGTGCATAGCATACTTGGTTCTGCTACTTTAACATTTGGATGACCTTTGTCATCATCTAACGCTCAGACTTAATCCTAATATTAATAATTTATTATTAATAATAACAATAATTTATGAATATTATGATTCAATAATTAAGTTGTTAATAAAATATTAATAAATATACATATTAAATTGTAATCATTTAGCTTATCTTCACCATCATCTAATGCTCAGAGGTAATCCTAATAGTATATTGATAATAAATGATAAATATTACAATTAGATTATTACAATATTAAATCTTAATAAATTATATTGTTAATGAATATATTAAATATTATTAATTTAGACTGTTATCTAATGCTCAGAGTTAATTTTAATATGAATAATTTATTAATAAATTAATAATATTAAGATTAGATTGTTACAGTAATGTGATATAATAAAATTAAACAAATAATTTAATAACACTAAAATATCATCTTTAGCAAATTTCAAAATGAGTATTTATTTATTTATAATGTTGTGATGCCTGATTTTAGTGTTTTATTTTTCATTTATTTGGACAAAATATTATAGAATTTTAATTCTGGTCATTTATCAGCTATATCATGACAACAATTACAGGCCAGAATATAAAATATTGGTGTGTCTCTAGTCTGCAAAGTACATTTCACTTTTGTGTTACATGAAGGATCACGTTGCTGCACCTTTTTTAGCTTCTCGTAGCCAGAGCGAGATATTTTGAGAATCTCGCAGGTTTCGAGTGTCACGACACCCTGGATGATGGCACCTCCATCTACAGCATTTACAGATTCATAGGATCCAAATGAACCTCCAGCAGCAATCTAGATCAACAAAGACACCAAATCCAGTACACTGTATGCAAAGCTTTTCAAATGTTGTGTTCAAGAGGCCAGAATTCAAAGACATCTTTAAATTGCTGCACTGGATTGGTTACTATTTCTAGTTTTGACAAGCTTTACTATTGGATGCAACACTTAAATAGATATTTATATTCTTCTGTGGGATGGAACAAACTGCCACATTACAATGAATGTTATCTGCTGACTTTCTTTAAAGAAATTGTTGAATATTCTACAACATTCTTAAATAAGGTAGGCCTATTGTGAACAACTGTTACCACTGTATTAATGTTAAGTGAAATTACATTATTTTACCAAATCAATCCAAAGGATTCACTCTGATAAACGATAAAAACATAGATAGCCAACCAACATGCATCCAACTTTAAAGGCAGAGTAAGCGATTTCTGGTAGCCAATGTTGATATTTGAAATCACCAAAACAAACACGCCCCTACCCCAAAAGGGTCTTGCCCCTATTTTGATAGCTCCGCCCCACATATACGTACGCAACCCAGGCAACGACTAGTTCTGTGAAACAAAGCAAAGCCAATAAAGCGTGCCATGCAAAATCTGAACTGCAGCAGCGCACTTAGAATAAACAAACCATTGGTGTGGATGCTAATATAGTTATCATGAACGGGTCTTAACTGTAGATTAGAAAAGAGCAAAAGCTTGTCAGAGAATATGCTAGTCAGCAACAATTGCCAAGGTATGAATGGTAATGTTTTTAATGTTAGGCAAAGCAAAGGGTCAATTTAAACTCAATAACTGATTAACAAGTTGCACAATTTATACCGTAGAGATTGTCTGATCCTCTTTAAGGGTTTCATGGTTGAACGGTTTCACTGAGCCCTTCAGAAGGAGGTAAAATCCATTATGCCCGAAAACTGTAATCAGAGAATGAGAAGGAAAGATAAATATGGCAGAAGACACACTCGATTAGAAAACCCTCCGCTCAACAGTTACAGTTCAGCTGTTTCGGGTCAAAACGCATGACCCCATTATGCAGGTGGGCAAGAGACTGACTATTAAAATCTTATCACTGTTTCTGTTATGTAGAGAAATAACACACATGCAGTATAAGATTTCACACATTACAAGAATTCAAAAAGTAACAACACTAGTCACAGAGTCACTGGAGCCCGTCTCATCATAAATAAGAGCATATGTATGAAGGGATGCATGCTGATGGGTTCTAAAAGACCAAAAGATCAGATATTTCTTGCATTCGACTGTAAAATAAATCCAAACAACTGCATTTAAATGAACGGTTCTCTGTGGAGCAGTGAATTTCACACGTAAAGGGAAAGTTCACCGAAAAATGTTAATTCTGCCATTATTTACTTATCATCATGTCACTTCAAATGACTTAAATTTCAATCTTTTTCTCACATAATTTCAATGTACAGTTTCCAATGACCTGGAATACAGTTATTGTTGTTAACTAAAACTATTAAAACTACGGTAACACTTTACAATGTTAGTTAATGTCTTAACTAACATGAACAAACAATGAACAATACATTTATTACAGTATTTATTCATCTTTGTTAATGTTAGTTAATGAAAATACAGTTGTTCAATCATTGGTCATGTTAATTCACAGTCCATTAACTAATGTTAACAAGCACAACTTTAGATTTTAATAATGCATTAGTAAATGTCAAAATTAACATTAACTAAGATTAATAAATGCTGTAGAAATGTTGTTCATGCTTAGTTCATGTGAACTAAAATAGTTAACTAATTAAACTTATTGTAAAGTGTTACCAAAACTACTTAAAAAAAATAATAAAAAAATAAAATAAAAATTAGAAAGGTTGCACTGGCAACTAACTGAAAAATTAAGTTTAAGCTGAAGTACAATAACTAAAATGGAGATAAAAATCAATAGAAATATTGAAAAAAAAAACTTAAAAAAATGACAAAACGCACATAACTAAATTATTGAAACTTCAATTAAAATTAAAATTACAATTGAAAATATAAGAGACATTTTAAATATTACTATACACACCATAATAGTATATACTGTAAATAATGCTAAAAACATTGGAATACAGCGCACGAGTATTATGGACCAATTTTATGATAACTTTTTGGAACTTGACAGCCCAAATAGTATTCAAAAGTGCAATCAAGACAATCTGTAAAAATGTCGATTTTAAAGAGGAAAAACTGTGGAAAGTTAATAACAACAGAAATTAATTTTTGGATTAACTGTTCCTTGGAAAAACCAATATACTCTTCATATTTCTTTGATAATTAATTAAAAGACACAAGCATTCACTCGGCACCCCCAAACAAGCATATACAGTGGGTACGGAAAGTATTCAGACCCCCTTAAATTTTTCACTCTTTGTTATATTGCAGCCATTTAAATCTCCTTGACGCAAAGATCTGAATGAGATGAAAACTGCTCTCTGAAAGCAAGCCATCTATACACTAGGAAAAACACTCCACAAAATCTCTCACTCCTCACACGAAAACTTTTCAGCCTGGCGCAGACAGCTATCAACAGCAAATCACAGTGTTTATGCTCTGTAATCATCTGCAGCTAAAACTTGCGTCCATAACAAAGCCCTCCATCTGTGACATACAACATACCACAGCCATTACTGTCCCTCTAGACGAATCAATAAAGAAACCTCCATCTCCAAAACACCAGACATTTGCAAAACAGTAACCATCGGTGTAGAGGCACGGATTCATGCTTTCATCAAATTGTCTTTCCTTTATGTTTTTGCTTAGTGGCCCTGAAAGAATACGTGGCTGTTATTGAGCACAGATTAGCAGACGACTGAACACGTCGATAGAAAATCACGCATGCTGGGTTGGGCTCTCAACCTTTTAGAAACACATCCAAACACTTGACAATATTCACAGGCAAGACTGAAAGATGATGCCAATGAAAGATCTGTTTGATTTGTGTCGATAGATCGTGTTGCATGAGGCCACTGATACATAATATATGAACTAACAGTTTTGGATGAGAGAATCTTCTTCTTTGGGGAGTGAGACAGATGTTTTGCAAGGCTCTGAATCAGAAAAAGACAATAAGGTAATACTGTTTATGAAGCCTATATATAAGCAATATTACATGAGTAAGATTGCTGATGTTCTCATTCATGGATAAACTGTTCTGAAGCTGATAAACCTGCTGAACTTGAAATAGGAAGCTTCTAAAGAAGCACAATTCATTTATGGAGTGTTGTTATGGATGATTTCCATCTGCCATTGTGCAAAAACACAAATGGTGGATGAAAAATGATAGATGAAATTATCTTGAAATAAGACATTCCCTGACACATAACATTACAAACCTCTGACATGTGATTTTCTGCTCTTATGTTATATACCAAGACTTATGGGTAACATTTTACAATACTTCATAAGAAATAACTACTTACATTTTGTTTGGTTTCTCACACAAAGCTATTGTATGACTTCTGAAGACTCTAAATATAGTGCATGAGTCATATGAACCACTTTTTCATTATATTGAAAATAAAGGCCATAATATTCTTTTAAAAATGACTCCGTGTGATTTTACAGTAAAGAAAAAATGCAGTCATATGAGTTTTGAACAACATAATCTTTAAGTGAATTTTCATTTTAAGGTGAACTTTGAAGAAATATTTCACCCAAAAATGAAAATATGCTGAAACTTTACTCACCTCAGGCCATCCAAGATGTAGATGAGTTTGTTTCTTCATCAGAACAGATTTGGAGAAATTTAGCATTACGTCACTTGCTCACCAATGGATCCTCTGCAGTGAATGGGTGCCGTCAGAATGAGAGTCCAAACAGCTGATAAAAACATCACAGTAATCCACACCACTCCAGTCCATCAATTAATGTCTTGTGAAGTGAAAAGCAGTGAGTTTGTAAAAACACAAATCCATCATAAAGGCTTTTTACATTTGAATGATTGCTTTTGCATATTATGGATAGAGGCACACATTCACTGCAGAGGATCCATTGGTGAGCAAGTGACGTAATGCTAAATTTCTCCAAATCTGTTCTGATGAAGAAACAAACTCATCTACATCTTGAATGGCCTGAGGATGAGTACATTTTCAGCAAATTTTTGGGTGAACTATTCCTTTAAGAGCGTATGTGCTCTATTCTTTTAAGAGTGTGAGTGTGTGTATAAATATCTCACTGATCTGTCCGCGGTCCCAGGTCTCGACGGTGGTGATGGTCCTAATCTGTTTCAGCTCTTGCGAGCCCAGCTGCGAGGTCAGACTTTGGGCTCCCTTCAGCAGTTTATAAATGATATGATGCTCTGACTGGGATCTCTCAATAGGGCTGCAAAACACACAAATTCATTTTTCAGGAGAATAAACAGCAAACTCTATTCAGTGGGCGCTCACAACATTAGAGCTACTTAGAGGGGTAGTTCGCAGAAAAATAAAAATTATGGCATCATTTACTCCTTTAAATGAAGTTACTCCTTACTCATTTTAACCCTTGAGTAGTTCCAATCCTGTATACATTTCTTTCTTCTGCTGAGCACAAAAGAAGATATTTTGAAGAATGTTGGTTACCAGTTGCCAGTAGCCATTTACTTTAATTGTATTGAAACATTGAAATATTGGTTACCAACATTCTTCAAAATATCTTCTTTTATGTCCAGCAGAAGAAAGGAATTCATACAGGTTTGGAACAACTCAAGGCTGAGTAAATGGCAAAATTTTCATTTTTGGTGAACTACACCAAAGGCATTTTAAACTTATTTTGGCAATTTACATTTACATTTAGTCATTCAGCAGACGCTTTGTTTTATCCAAAGCGACTTACAAATGAGGACAGTGGAAGCAATCAAAATCAATAAAAGAGCAATGATATGCAGGTGCTATAACAAATCTGTTAGCTTAATGCAGTACACGTAGCAAGGTTTTTCTTTTTATTATTACTATATAATAAATAAAAAGAAGAACAGAATAGAAAAAGAATAGAGCAAGCTAGTGTTAGAGGCCTTTTTTTTGCTTTTGATAATTGTATAATAAATCAAAAGAAAACAAATAGATAGAACGCAAAAAGATTAGAAAAGCTAGTGTTATTATTATTATTATTTTTTTATAGAATTAGAATAGAGAGTGCTAGAGTTAGAGGGTCAAAAAAAGATGGAAGAGATGTGTTTTTAGCTGATTCTTGAAGATGCAGGACTCAGCTGCTCAGACTGAGTTGGGCAGGTCATTCCACCAGGAGGGAACATTTCATTTAAAAGTCAGAGAAAGTGATTTTGTGCGTTGTTTACGTTCGGCGGAGAAAGCACGCGCATGAACGTAATCTGCGTAATCAGCGTTGTTTACGTTTAGGGGAAAGCGTGCGTATGCATTTTGATACTCTCTAAAATGGCGGAAGACGTAACTCGGGGGGAGAAGAATTGTTGGAAAAAAAATAATTTTTGTTTTCTTTGTACTCAAAAAGTATTCTCGTAGCTTTGCAAAACTGAAGTTGAGCCACTGATGTCACATGGACTGTTTTACCGATGTCCTTACAGTGTGATGCGTGTTCTTTTCAAATTTCTTTTAAAAATTAATCTTGCTGCCACGTTCTGGATTAATTGTAAAGGTTTGATAGAACTGGTTTGAAGACCTGCCAAGAGAGCATTGCAATAGTCTAGCCTGGACAGAACAAGAGCCACAAGCAGCAATTAGAGCAATATTTATCTGTACAGAAATAATAACATTTTTATTTTATATAAAACAAAAAGTATTTCTGTATAAAATTATTTTATTTTATATAAAATAATAAAATAGAATCAATTATAAATACAATCAAATAACATTTATAAAATAAAATGATAAAAATAAATAAATAAATAAAATAAACATTGACAACACATAGATGTTCAATGTATTGGAACTGGTCCATTGAAATGAGCGGTCTAAAAGTAAAATAGAAGAACTAAAATTATAATTAAATAAAATAGTCCAGATTAACTAATTGACTAGTTAGTCAACCATACTAGTTGACTAGTTATTTGACCATAATGACACTGAAGCTCCTATGATTTGTCTCCTGATAGAGTTGGGGACTGTAGTCAACTAGCAGCAGCTACTAGTACAGTGATTTGGCGACCTGCAGCTATTTAATTGCACCTTCAGAGTCCATTAAAGACATTCTTTAAAAGACTCTGGGATAAACTGGCTCAAAATCCAGTCTCATCTGCATTAAAGTGTGTGTGTGTGTCCTAGACCAGTGGTTCCCAACCCTGGTCCTGGAGGCACCCCAACACTGCACATGTTGCATGTCTCCTTTCTCTGACACACCAATTTCAGGTCTTGAAGTCTCTACTAATGAGCTGATGGTCTGAATCAGGTGTGTTTGATTAAGGAGACATGCAAAACGTGCAGTGTTGGGGTGCCTCAAGGACCAGGGTTGGGAACCACTGTCCTAGACAAACCCCCTGCAACCCAAACAAAAAACTCTTAATCTTTTTACACTCTCACTGTCCTACAGGCACCATCTCAGATAATGAAACCTGAACTCTTGCTATTAAAGGGGTCATATGATGCGATTTCATTTTTTCCTTTCTCTTTGGAGTGTTACAAGCTCTTGGTGCATAAAGAAGATCTGTAAAGTTGTAAAGACTAAAGTCTCAAATCCAAAGAGATATTCTTTATAAAAGTTAAGAGTTAGCCACACCTACCTAAAACGGCTCGTTCGAACACGCCCCCACATATCTACCACACTATGTGGGAAGATTTGCATAACACCGCCCAAATGTTCACACAAAGAAATTAGCAGCATCATATGACCCCTTTAAGAAAACCCTCTGCAGCGTGTTATGTTTAAAGCTAATTCTTAAGGGAAACCGATTGTCTTAGAGTGTGATGATGATGGTATTAGCATGGTGTCTAGTTCCATGGGCATCCGAGAGATCAAATCTCAAGCGCAATAGCCGGGGAGGAGTTTAGCCATCAAGAGCACACCGCTGCCAGCGTGAGTGAGTAATCACAATGCCGATAGACTGTGCGCGCATGAGTTTGCTTATGCTGGATGAAGGTCAAATCCATCAATCAATCCTTTGTGGGTGTTTGCTTGTGCTTGTGGGTTCGGCAAATCAGTGTCAGTCACAACACAGCCGGCTTTAGACAGGCAAAAAGAATAAAAGCTCTCAAACAATTTGCGTAGTACTAAGAATATTCCATCTCTAAAGTATGATTCACATCCATCAGCCTTTCCATTCCAATGCTTCAACGGCAAAACTAAAAAAGGAACCTGCTTTTTTATTCCTGTTATGCCCTGTCATTTATAATCTTGAAATATTAAAAATATTATATTATAAATATTACAAAATATAAATCATATTAATAATAATGATAATAACTATAAATTATATATAATATGCTAAAATAATAATTATATAGATAGATAGATAGATAGATAGATATTATATGATATGATATTTTATTGCTATAATTTTTTTTAAACTTGGAAACTGTATTTGTTAAGATTTAAAAATAAAAAATAGCAATTTATTAAGAAATATTACAGGTATGTAATCATGTTTATCATGAACATTTTTTAAAACAAAAATGGTTTTGTTGGGAATATCATTTTATTTTGTAAACCTGTAGGTGTTTTTCTGTTTGCAATATCACTTCCAATCCAGAATCTTTCGTAACATTCCTTTAAATAACAAAAATAACATCATCCAGAAAGTGGCAACATTTTTGTTGAGCCAATCACAGCATAACATCAGTGAATATTAGTAATGGATTTGAGGAATTCTGTAATATTTTATGATATTAGCTGATCTGCCTCACTTGATAAAACTGCAGAAATTAATATTATCAAAATTTCAAAAGCTAGTTAATAAAAAAAAATCAAGTCAAGTCGATACCCTCAAGTTAAACTGTCAATCAATCAATAAGCAATGGCCAACTGTAGCTCTTATATCCATCCTGTTAGAATTACTCAGGTTATATTGTCATATTTCTGAAATTCTCTTTACCTTTTATAGAAATACTTTCTAAAATTACTACACAAGCATATTGATTGGAGTTCAAACAGTGCTGCACAACAGAAATGACTAACCAAAGAGCTCCAAACATTTCAGATGCTTTATACACCTACATTTTTCCATCTTTGATACACTCCAGACTACAAATCAATAAACTCAAATGCATTCACTGTAAAACACTACACAGATGGCAGAGCTTAGTCCTAATAGCGTTAGCAGAGATGTACAAGCATGAGTTTACAATTTACAGGAACGTCTCCAACACAGTTTGGCAGTCTTAATTTCAGGGTTCACAAAACATCCTCTGTGCACCAAGTTTGTAATTCCCCGTCCTCCTGCCAAAGCGCTATGTGGATATAAAAAAAAAAAAAAAGAACTCATTATGCCGTTAAGATAATGGGATATCATCTTTTATACTGTGGGTAATTTCTGGGTTGAGAGCACAACTGCCTTTTAAAATATACAATTAGCAGTAACATCATCTATCTATGGATGGGAACGAGGCAATGTTCATGTCAGGTCACCTGATAAAGCCTTGAGTTGAACATTTAAGGTCATTATGAGTCATGTTCAGATCCTCATGGTTTCTACAGAATATTTAGATTCAAAATATGTTACATTATTTGTTTTTATTGAACAAGAATTACAAAGACATGTCCATGAACTCCTCCACAAAATGAGCAAACTGCTTCAATGTTCAGTGGTACTTTATTAAAAAAATTATTCCTTTTTAAAAAGAAGGCGAGAACTCTGAACTTTAAGTTTCGATAACGTGTAAAAAAAGAATCCTGACAAAACCGGTTTGATATACATTTCAATTAATTTCGCTTTTTTTAGCTCAAAAGAGAACTCAGAATTGTGAGATCTAAACTTGCAATTCTGAGAAGAAAAGTCTGAATTGTGAGATAAATGTCGCAAATGCCTATTTTATTTTTTATTATGTGGCAGAAAGAAAAAAAAAAGAATTGTGAGATATAAACTCTCAATTGCAAGAAAAAAAAAAGTTAAAATTGTAAGATAAAGAGACAATTTCTGCCAGAAACAAACTTCCATTGTTTTCTTATGCTAAATTGGAAATACAAATAATTACAAACAACATGCACATAATAATCCACAAAAATGCAGCTGGTGATCAAATGACTGCGAAACAATCATATGATTAAAAGCCATGTGACCAGGGTGGGATTTTGTTTGGACCACCAACCACTGAGATTTTTTTTATTTTTCAGTTCAAATATACAGAATAATTCACTTTAGGCATGAAACCAAAGCCATAGGGCTTGTAAATCAAATCAGATCTCTCTTTGATTGTGAGTCTGAGAAAACTGAAGTCCAATCAATCAGATATGCACCTCTCCAGCTTTTCTTTCATTCTCTACTTTCACACTAAATAAAATATTAGTTCAACAAAAGTGCATTGTTACTAAACAACAGCATTTCATGTCAAAGGCCAAATTAAACCTGAAAACTATTTTTGTGTTGAAATTTTGCTAACTGGTGACTTCAAAATAGTGAATAACAGAAGCTGACTAGGAAATGATCTCTGGTTTAATTCCAGGATTCTCGCTGACATTTCCATATACTTCCATTAATTATGAATTCGCTGTAGATAATAATAATTGCAAGCTTTAATCACTCCATAAGATTCTGATTAACTGGAGGGAACTTATCGCCAAATGAATGAGGAAAAAAACTGAAATATAACTTTTTTTTGTAAGAATATCTGCTGATTGCGGTACATACAGAGCCTGTGGTGCTGAATAAAAACAGCAGAAATGAGGGAAAGAGAGGGAAGGAAAAAAGCAGTGAAGAGGAGGAGGATGAGAAAGTGAAGAAAAACAAATGAATTTCCCATTCTACAAAACAAGTGCCATTTGCATGTATAAAAAAAATTATCTACACACACAACCATAGTTGATGCTCACTTTTACAATGCCATTCACATCACCACAAATACAGTAATGTTCTTTAATAATGCTAATGCATTTTTGCCCTCTGCATTAGAAAATATGCACATTGTGACGAAAGCAAAAGCTAGCAATTAGCCTTTACACTTTCTAAGATTTAGTTGGTTAATAGTTGAGATTACTGTATTTTAGATATTAATTATCCAAAAGACAAATTACATGAAGTTGTGTCCCTGAATTTTCCATTTTTGAAGAAATAAATTATTTTATAAATCGAAAAAAAAAAAAAATGTTGTGGATTTGCGGAAATATCAGCCTTATAAAACTTGACGTGTCAAACTGAAAAATCTCAAAATTGTTACATTTCTGAGGACATAATTATATCCCGACATGTATTAAAACTTAATGCACAATGCAAATTAAGACTTAAACTCATGATTTATATAATACAATGTTTTAAATCAAAAATGTACTTTAAAAATCATCTTATCAAACTGAGAATGAACAACATGAAGGTGAAGAATGAACAACAACAACCTCAACAAAACAAAGAGTCACAAAGAGCCCACAGAAAAGACACTCTCATTTCACCTCCCGTGAGGAGGGTTGAGGACCGTTCTCCATGTATGTGCAGCTCAGTTTGAGACACAATTACAGCAGAGTCAGAGAGGTTTCAGCGGCCAGCTGCTTTCACAGGTCTGTCGGATAGCGAGAGGCTTTGTCTTTCAGTAATGGTCCTTATCTGTGGAGCGGGCCGCCTTTACAACACTATCTTATCAGCCACCAAATACTTACCTGCGAACTATCTCCAGAGAATGCACCAGGAAAATTGCCACTAAACCGAGAGCAGCCACTGACATAAATCACAGAGAAAGAGGTACATCGATAAGGGCTATCTCAAAGTTAAAGCCACAAAGCTGTTTTGGGGTCCGAATGGCCAGCAAACTTAATTCAAATTCTAAGTGCCACTTTACTGTGAAGATAAAAGGGAAACCTTCTCCGGGTAATCAATCCAATCTAAATGCGCAAATCTCATTGCTGATAACCTCCACTGTCTTTCCTTAAATTGTCTGCAGCACTTTTCTTGAGCTCAGGCAAAATAGGAGGGGGAAAAAAGTCAAGCCAGCATTTAGAAACAAAATGATTTCGCTGTTCTTTTCATCCCTTTTATCACACCAAGCCCTTAAAGGGGTCATAGGATGCTACATGCACTTTTACAAGTTGTTTGAACTTTAATGTGTGGCGGAAAATGGGCATCCTATGACCCCTTTAAGGAAAGACAAGCACTGTAAAAGCCAACAATGATACGGCCGTTACCATAGCTGCTTTATCAGAAACGTCCAAAGCCGCATCCATCATGCACATCAAATAGCTGCAGTCTTACAGTCTAATATCTCTCCCGATAAAGACCTGAAAGATTTCCATGGATTTCCAACCAAAAATGAAAATTTACTGAAAATGTACAACCTCTGCAGTGAATGGGTGCCATCAGAATGAGAGTCCAAACAGCTGATAAAACAACACAATAATCCACAAAACTTTAGTCCAATTACTCCAAACCTGTTCTGATGAAGAAACAAACTCTCAGGGTGAGTAAATATTCAGGAAATTTTTGGGTGAATATTCCTTTAAGAGAGAATATATTGTTAACAACATTGGACCCCATTGACTTTCATTAGAAAAAAAAAAGTATATATATATATATATAGCCTGTTGGGGACACTGCTATAGTGAACAAAATAGAAGGACCATTAAGTGTGAGAGAACTAAACAAGTACAGTTTTTATAACAGTTGCTTAATTGAAATCCACCAACCATAGCTTGGCTGTCATCATGGATGTGTGAGAGAGAAAGAAAAGAAGGGATCTGTTTCCTCACATATAGCAGCTGTCAGAAGTCTCAGTTTTGCAGCTGGTTCTGAGGTTCTCCTGCAAACAGCCAAAGAGTCCCGAATCCTGACAAAACAAGAGCTCAAGCACAAATGATAACTGTCAGAACTGTTAAATAAGACTCCTCAGCCAACACGTGTGTATGTCATCAAAACTGGGAATGTTTTTTTGGACCAAAACACCACTCTGTGAAAACACAACCCTTTCACATGCATAGCCGGAGATTCTGCTAAATGGAAAAAACTTAAATCGTTGTGTAAGAAAAACAAAACTCATAAACATTTCAGGCACAGTGAGGCGGTTTGTCAGAGGCACCCTGTAGGGATCAATCATTCTTCTAAATTTCTGCTATAAAACCGTATTATAAAGCAAAGACACTGAAATAAGTGTGCTGCTTTCTGCTTTGCTTTTGTTTGGGCCAATTGCTCACCAACAATTTCAGTAAAATGTTATTACTCAAAGGTTGCGCTTTAATAGCTCATAAACTTTCACTTGCTGTTAAAAAAATTAAATAATAATAATAGTTTTGTCAAGTAAACAAAAAAGTTATGTGGTAGCATCTAAATGAACTGGTATTGATTTTAGTATAGCATTATTTTAGTGTTATTTGTTTACTATTACAGCATTTATTAACATTTTGCAATATCTTTTATTTTTCTGTTTTTACTTTAAGTTTTAATAATTTTGTTAGGTGCTTTTATTGTTTTTATTAGTTTGATTTTCTTTTATTTCTAGACAGGATTCATTTTTAATTCAGTTTTAGTAATTTTAGTATTTTGCAAATCTGATCACATAGATAAAGGTTTTAGATCAAATATAAACGTCTGACCTTTAATTGCAGACTTTGGTGTATCGGGCTCAAATTTGAAGACAGTTGGGAGATGTTGTTGAAATCTTTTTTAAAACTCTTGAGAAAACAAATTACATTTTCGGGGTCTGTTTCTCAGTAGACAAATCTGATGAAGCAAAAGTCTCCATTTGCTCTCCATTTAATCTCATCAGAGATATTAAATAGAGCTTATTTGTGATTGTTCTTTACAAGCTGTACTGTTGACATGAAAACAACATAATCAGGCGAGTCTTCTAAGTAATAACCTAGAAACAAACACTCAAAATACCTTGTTTAGATTAAACCTAGTTAAGTCAATGAGTTCATTTATTCAGCTTTGGGACAAATAAACCATTTAGGTGTTTGTGTTTTCTGTTCTCAAGCTTGACAACAAGGGAGTCTGGTCCAAAGCTCCAAGCCTTGATTGACATGCCCAGAATTGGACTTTCCCTTCTTCCCAATCCCATTCAACCTCTCCAATGATGATGATGAAGTTTCCACTGCAGCTGTTGTTATACTCAGAGTTGCTCTGGTAAGAAACCTCATTATTAGCGCTTCATTAACATATCATACAAATATATATATATAAAATAGGCTATATTACATATTGTAATATTATATAATGTTGTGCGCTATCTGTCACGCCCAGGTTATCTTCAGAGAGCAAGTTACTATGGTTACTTACATACCCTGAAAGTAACCTCCGATTTTGAAACCGAAAACTGAGGTTATCCGCTCGCTTATCCTCAAAAATACCCGGGTATGTCACATAACCTGCTTTTTGGAATACCCCCCAGGAACCACTGGACTGAAATAAGGCATGCTGATTAAATACAACAAAATATCTGTGAAAGTCCATTGAGCACTAAGGCACTGGCCTTTAACTGGACATTATAAACACCACAAATGAGAAAGTAATCCTTATTTAAAAACAAATTATCAAGAAAGAAGTGAATTCAAATATCACCACTGAGAATAAGTGAATATACAACAGAGGTACAAAGTTTTTCCGTTTTCATTTGGCCTCCTCACAAACTCACCAGCCCTCATCAGCTGTTGTCATGACAACATCTTAAACAGCAAATACATCAGCGGTTTAGAGCTGTAGGCTGATAGGGAGCCCGGCCAATCATTGTCTCCGCACACAAAAGCCCCAGAGCTTTCCAAATGATCTAAACTTTAAGAAAACACCATAAAACTAAGCATTTCACATGATATACACATCTGAACTGTATTGGATGATAATCACGCCTGTTGGCTGAATATATAGATGGTGACAGATGTTAAATTGCACTTTGAAATATTAATAGATGTGAAAAACTGTTTGAATGAGGAGATGGTTTTAAATATTTTGCTCTGTGTTAAATGATATGTAACTTATCTATTTTACTATTATTATTATTAAATATATTTAACAAATATTATTATATTATTATTATTACACAGAACCTGATAAGATAATAAAATGAGTTTCCAATTATTAGAAATATTTAATGCTTATTTTTTAATGGTATCATGAACTAATAAATGAACATCACAACATGATTTACATTTCTTTCATCTAGGTAAATATTCCTTTTTTAGTTGAGCATTTTTAATTTTCATTCATAATACATTGTTTATATATAACTATAAATGCTATAAAAAAAACTATTGTTTTGAAAAAAATAAAAAATGAAATCGAAATGAACATTTCCCTAGAGTAATAAATGGTGTAAAGATATTGTTCATTGTTAGTTCATGATACCCAATGCACTGGTTGATCAAATTAAACCATATATGTATATACACACACACACACACACAAAATTAGAGTTTCAGGTAACACTGAAAACTTTTCTGGGTCAAAGTGTTTCTCTGTCCAGCACACATCCCCAGGAAACACAGGAGGAGGATTGTGGGAAAGGGTGAAGTCTTGAGGAGGGGTCAAAGCACTGAAACACAGAGCAAAATAAATACATGAACTATAATAAAAATACAGTCAGAAAGTGCACACAAAGCAGGTTGTGCTGGCCGGCTTCCTTCATCAAATAAGCCGAACATCTTCCGCTGGTTCCTGGAGCAGCCCCCCCCCCAATCACTGCCCTGCTCTGACTGTTACAATGGCCTCCTGGACGTGGAGCTACATGGGCAAAGCCAGCGCGGGGGGAAGCCAAGAACTTCCTGCCTCCAGTGCTGGCAGAGAGACGAGCTCTCACGGGAACAGTGTGCAAGAGCAGGAAGTGTGTGTGAATGTGTGTGTGTGTATGTGTTGCCAGCACAGTTGGTCCAGCTCCCCATGAGACCTGGATGGGGAAAACTGGCTTCACAACAAGAGCAGATGTAAAGACACACTAGACAACAAACCCATATAGGTTAGTGTATGTACACACACCAGGTCAACGGATGACCTTCAGAAGGGTTCAAAATGTACTTAGAAGAGGTGAGCAATGACATTGAGGTGCAATGATGATTACAAATAAAAGTCCATATTACAGTTAAAACAGTTCGCAACCCATTTTACTTATAAAATCGGACATATCGAAGAGGATATTCAACATTCAAGGAGATTTATAATTATGAAAGCTACTCACATTCACAAATTAAGCGATTTGAAATCTGCCATCTATGCTCACGGGCACTCAGTTCCACATCTAAGTTGTTATTAGACTAATCAACTGAGGTGCAATTGTCAAGTGACTAATCACTCTGGAACCACCAGAAGATTAGATCATGACAACACTTTAATGGTTGATGGCACCATAATGAATGAATACATTTCCAGACCCTTCACTAGTGACTATCCCTATAGCTGTGATGTCAAAGGAGGCAGACAAAAAAAAATCCAAAGAGGTCCATGTCAAGCTGTTAAGTATATTAATGAGTATTTATTATTTATAAACAATAACAAAAAAAATAATATTTTTAAATTATTATATTATTTAAATTATTAGATTATATATTATACATTTAATTAATTATTTTATTATGTGCACACATTTTGGAATAAGATTTTTTTTTTCTTCGTCACACGATCCTTCAGAAATCATTCTAATACGCTTATTTGGTGCTCAAGGAACATTTCTTCTTACTATAATTGTTGAAAACCGCTGAATCATCCAGTTCAGCAGTTGAAAATGGCTTCATATTTTTGAGGAAACCGTGATACTCTTTCCGTGAGACTCTTTGATTAATAGAAAGTTCAGCATTTATGTGAAATAGAAATCATTAATGTCATTATAAATGTCTTTACTGTCACTTTTGATCCATGTAATGTTTCCTTTTTGAATAAAAGTTTTTTTTTTTTTTATATCTTACTCATAACTTTTAAAAGACTTGTATTGTGGTTTCCACAATAATATTAAGCAGCACAACTGTTTTCAACACTGATAATAAGAAATCAGCAATATTATCAAATCAGCATATTAGAATTATTTCTGAAGGATCATGTGACACTGAAGACTGGAGTAATGATGCCGAAAATGTCAAATTTCACAATATTGATGTTTTTATTAAATTATTAATTGTTTAAAAAATTATTATTTTTTTTAATTAAAAAAACCACAGCCTTGGTTATAGGATATAACCACATCATAGGATGAATAAAAAAAAAATGAAAAAGAAAATAAAGCCATCAGCATAACTTACTATAACAAAATGTTTGCTATTTTGCTTGCTTGGAAAAAAATGACTATTGGGTCTAAATTTCAATGCATGCGTGTTCGCGGTGTGTGTGTTCACTGCTGTGTGTGTGCACTTTGGATGGGATAAATGCAGAGCACTAATTCCAAGTATGGGTCACCATACTTGGCCACATGTCACGTCACTTAGATCACTTATAAATGGTGTAGTTATGATATCTACCAGCAAGGGCTGACTATGAAACAGGAAATTCAATGTGAACGCCACAGGCTGGCCCTTGATTTTATCCATCTGGGGTGGATTGGATTGTGGCCATGAAATACGAGTGTTGAAATGTAAGGGCATATCATTCAAAATCAAAGCATGTTATTGCTTTTTCATTGAAAGACCAGGGGTTTTTTTCTTTTTAGAATAAAATGCACTACAGAGCCATACACACTGAGACCAGCAATGCGCTTAAAAAAAAAAAAACAGGGTAAATTTTGATTTCATGTTGACTTTAAACCAAATCAGTGTTTTGTTTACCTTTAAAACAAAGCCTTGGGCCCTCATTCATCATTTGATACTGATTCCTGTGAAACTGCCAAGTGTCTATCGCTGTGGGCTTGCGATTATTTGCCCTTTATAATCTCATTTCCACATGGCTGAGATTCTTTCACAATACAGTTCGCTGAATGTCACAAGGCAGAACCTCACAGGGACGAGACGATTCCATCTCCCAAATCGAATAAAATCATGACCTATTTCTCTTATCCAGCTCACATCTTTCAAACAAATTCCCCCGGTGGCAATTGGCATACACGACCCAGATATCTAGAGACAGAGCTGGGAAGAAAAAACCCGTGAAGACATGACAAAGCACTAGGAACCGTCTACAAGGGCCTCACAAAGCCCCGTAGGTAATGTCACTACAAATGCAAAATGGGTATCACAGGAAGTTCTCCTTCGAGCTGCCCATGCATGAAGCTTTCTGTATGTGAGCCATGTTACTCAGCTGTAATATGGCACATTAAAGCACAAATGTTCACTTGTTATAACGAATGTTATAACGCATGCAAAGCACAAAGTAGTAAGGCAATCCAAGAGAAATGCTTTGCCATCTGCCTCCATTAACTCCGCCGAAGGCACAGTCCATCCGTCACATACCGAGTGCTCAGTATTCACTCCGATTATGTTCTACCATGGTGCACTGGTGTAAGCTTCTCCTGTGGGATGGTGGTGCTTGTTAATGCTTAAAGGTTTCAAAAAAATCGTATGTATTAAACTTTGGCACATTAAACTGATGAAAAAGTTACAGAAATGTTTTTTACGTGGTTGCAAAATATTTGTATTTCTAACAAATGCTGTCCTTTTCAATTTTCCATTCATCAAAGAATCTTGAAATAAGTGCAGCCTCTACAGTTTTAAAACGCTACAAAAATCTTACCAACCACAAACTTTTGAACGATAGTGTAAAACAAAAGAGGAATCTGTGCCATACACAGTATAGTGAGCAAAATATCATAGAGGCTTGGGGATGAGCTTTCTCCACAGAACATATTAAAATCTAGTTCATATTATTTTTTTCACACCAACCGTGCTCTGATCCTGCACTGAAAGATCTCCATATCCTCTTTCCTGTCTCTGGTGTCTATCTGTCCTACAAAACTCAAGAACAACCAATAAAAAAACAGATGCATTATCCCTGGGAAGTTCAGTGGATGAATGAGGGAGATTATATCACAAGGAACGATATCCAAACACCTACAAGCAACATATAAGAGCAGGAAATCAGTCCCACAGTCCTGTGTTGCTCAACATGGGAGCTTTAGAAAACTATATTGTTCTCTCTCTCTCTCTCACATTAATGAACTGTGACAGCAGGAAAGTAAAACAAGGCCTATCGATATGAATTAAGAGAACACTAGATAACACTAAGATATCGGCAGAGAGGGCAGAAGATTAGTCCCATTCTCTTTTTATGCTCTTAATTAAGTGTCACCATGTGTCATTAATTCAACAATGAATTCTAAAAATGTCTTCCTCATTTATGAAAGCTATGATTTTAATTTGCCACATATGGCTAAAACTAATTAAAACGGAGTCACGTCAAATATTAACCAAAGAAATTCTGAGATGCATGTAGCTCTGAGCAGAAATAAGTCATGATTGTTTGACATGCTGAAAAGGTGTTACACTGTTACAATCTACAAGTAATCCACAACAATTCCAGTCCATCAATTAACATGTCTTGTGAAGTGAAAGCTGTATGTTTGTAATAAATTCATCAAGACGTTTTTAGTGTCAAATCAAAATACCAGTCCACAATCCATAACAACTCTTCCTCCAGTGAAAAAAGTCCTTCCCCTGTTGTCCTCTCACATCAAAATCCACCAACATATGCGTTAAGAACTGATTTGGACCATTTCATTTGTAAACAGTGCTTGATCTATATGCCTATTTCTTTCCAGATTCAGCCAAGACAACTTTTTCACTGGAGACTCATATTCTCATATTTCTCAGAGACTCATATTTTAGCCGGAAGCAACGGTTCAAAATTAAAAACGACTTCTTGATGAATTTGTTTCTAACAAACACACAGGTTTTCACTTCACAAGTGGATTACTTGTGGATTAATGTGATGTTTTTATCAGCTGTTTGGACTCTCATTCTGACGGCACCCATTCACTGCAGAGGATCCATTGGTGAGCAAGTGATGTAATGCTACATTTCTATAAATCTGTTCTGATGAAGAAACAAGCTCATCTACATCTTGGATGGCCTGAGGGTGTGTAAATTTCAGCAAATTTCATTTTTGGGTGAACTATTCCTTTAAGAAACAAACGCATTTAAACATCTTATTAAATCATAAAAACTTTATCTAAAGTCTTCTGCCTAAATGTTTGAAATCAGTTTTGTAGACAAATATAAATTGTCCTTATAAATACACTTTGTTCATATTTTAATTTATTTTGTTCATATATATAGCCTAAGGTATATACTGTATGTTCAAATACAAGACATCATTTCCATACTTCAACTGGGGTGAATTCATAGTTTTAATGACCTTAGTATTATTATAAAATGTGGGGAAAGTAATAATAAAGAATGAGTAGGTGTGTCCGGACTTTTGATTGATAGTTTAACTGAAAAGCACAGCCACATTAAGTAGTGCATTCAATCAGAATTACCTTAACCGCAGTCCTAAAGTTGATTTACAAGATAATCACTCACTATTTTTCATTTTAACCAATCCTTAAATAACCCTTCTTTGTGAATGCTATTCAAGACATCCGATTCCAACTGGGAGCAGATCTATATTCCAGCCAATTAGAGCCATGACTCATATGTCACTACCCACAAGAACATTCATTTTTGCAGCTCCAGCAAGCTGTTGAGAGGACTGTAAACATTACTCAGAACATCTCTGAGTGGGACTACAGTGAGACTGAAATGACTGACAGGTCCTCAGCTTCTGCATCATGCCCCTGCAGGAGTGCGGCCCACGTGTCTTTTATTATAAAGCACTTCCTGTTGGTGACTTTCACTCAACAAGATACGACTTTCCAAAAAGGCACAAGGGCAATTTTTAGAATAATGATGCAGGTTTGACGTAAAGGCTTAAACAGCTCCAGCACACTCTTAGCAGCAAAGTTACACTACAATAGAGTTTTGTTCATTTGTTTATTCCCAAGAGGTAAAAGCTAGTAATATTGCAAATGAATACTGATTCAGAAGCACCTTCAATTTTGATTTTAATATACACAACTGTTCTAGATTGAGGTCAGTAATATATATATATATTTTTTTTTTTAAGAAATTAGTTTTATTCAGCAAGGACACATTAAATTGATCAAAAGTGACAGTAAAGACATTAATAATGTTACAAAAGATTTTTTTTTTTAAATGCTGTTCTTTTAACATTTCTATTCATCAAAGAATTCTGGAGAAAAAAAAATCCTGGTTCAGGGTTTTTACAGTTAACTAAAATTAAAAGTAAAACTACAAAAAATTCATTTTTGTCACTTAAAATCAATGGTAACTGAATAATAATGAAAAAAAAATGTTTACGTTTTTAATATTTTAACTAGCTGGCAAAGCAACACGTGATTACTAATTAGTACTGAGCAAAATGTTTCAAATATTAAAGAAATAGTTATTCACATCCTAGTCTTGAGTTGTATTCTGGGTAAAGTTGTCTGAGGGCGCAAGAATATTTCTTGATAAAGTTGCATGATTTTTTTTATGGGCCTCTTCAGAACGGATAATGTGAAGAGAAGCAAAACATTTTTTTTTTTTTTTAATTACCATCTTGTTTTTAAAATGGGATATTAAAACACTAGTTCAACAAGTTCAAAGGCAACTAAAACTACTGTGGCCGAGAGAGCTCAGCGCGCTGCAAATAGAAAAAACACCTGCAAATTAAAAAAACAACTTCCATCAATTTGACAACACACGTGCTGCAAATAAAATTTTTTATTTGGTTGTGTTGTGAGCATTTACAGAATGTTTCTTTATTTGTTTGCGTTGTGAGAATTTGCAGCACCAATTTTCTTGATTTGCTGGTGCTTTTTCTATTTGCATGTGTTTTCTTAAGTTGCAGCGCGTTGAGCTCTCTCGGCCACCGTATAAAACATTCAAATTAGCAAATTAATGACCATTGACCATTTCTACCTTTCATTTTGCTGGGTTAGCTGTGTGTAGTCAATGTCTGGGAGTCTTTGCTCAGCTGCGTTAAAAGTATAAAGTTTAGCAGATCAGTAACAACCAATTTTACAGAGCTAGAAATATTCAGTAAAGTAAAACAAATGTGACAACCAGCCCCGGTCTCCTTTATCCGGACTTTGCAGTGTATAATTACCATGTTGTTATTTACAAAAGCAAGCCAATACAACAAACAATAGATAATATGTACAATACAACTGGCTCCTTACGTTATTAAACATGTTTATTTAAAATTTCTCTGTAACGTTACCTGAACGTCGGTATGGGCGCATGGCTGTTTGAAGTGTCACTGCAGTAAATTATAACATATGGGTTCATTGTAACAGTGAGATATTGGTGACTCGCGAGCGCAAGTTGTCTGGCCTGTTGCTGTGCGTCATGGCAACAGTCATGTACTCATATTACAGACAGTACACGTTTATCGTGTTAAGAGATCATTAATAAAGCCTTATTATTAATATCTTGTTAGGATAACACGTTTCCAATCACGAAATAAAAGAGGTCGACGATATTACATATTTAGCAAGTTAATGCGCTACAAGTTGGCTAACAGTAAGCAAGAAGTTAATATTGAGTAACTTACATTTTAGGCATAATATTTCCAGTTATTTTGTCTATATTTGCATCACCGGCAAAAATACTTGCAAATTAGTCCAAAGCGGAACTGACCTTCAAGCGTCCTGTTTTTGAAGGAATCGAGTGAGTGAATGACTCATTGAATCTCTCACAAGGACATTTGTTTCGTTCCTAAATGAAGTGTGTTTGAACGATTCGACTGATTAATAATTGACTCACTCAATTGTTGGCAACTACTTGCCTATAAAAGTAACGTGCAAATCATTGGAAAAAAGATTCAACCCTAATTAAACACACCTGATCCAACTAATCAAGTTAGGCTTATTTAAAAACGACGTAGGTATGTGTGTTGGAGCAGGGTTGGGACAAAACTCTGCAGGGCTCTGGCCCTCCAGGAATTGAGGAATTCAATTCAAACTCAGGAATTGAGTTTGACACCCTGCCTGAGATACAGTATATCAGAGATTCTCAACTCTGGCCCTCGAGATCCACTTTCGCTTTGGTTTAGCTCCAACCTCGATCAAACTCACCTGCCTGTAACTTTCTAGCGATCCAGAAGACAACTGATTAGCTTGTTCTGGTGTGTTGGAGCTAAACTCTGCAGGAAAGTGGACCTCGAGGGCCAGAGATGAGAACCCATGCAGTATATAAACACACATCAGGGTTATTATTGTTAAAGGCACAATATGTAAGATTTTTTTATTAAAATATCCAAAAACCACTAGAACAGTGTTATATATTTTGCTGACTTGTGTACTTAAATTATCCCAAATTTTTCGAACAATGTTTAAATCCAGAGAAATAAGCTAA